GCGTGTCATTATCACGGCCATTATCATATCTGAATTTCAGATCCGGATCTTCCTCATCACTGTGATACGAACAGTAACGATGGTGTCGGTTGTAATGTATCAACTCAAGCCAGAGTCTCATTCTTTTGAAATGCATGCAAAGTGGATTAACCAAACTCTTCCAGGCCTCGGCGACAACCAGTGTTTGAGGGTCAAAGACGTTGTGCGCGAGCAGCCAATAAAATAGGCTGGCATTATGCAAATTATGCATTGCTATGCAGGTTTGCAACAGGAAGTGAGACTATAGAATTATTGACGACTCATGTCAGCAGTTCATAATAAATACTTTCTTTTAGGAGACAATAACTTTTAACAATAACAATTTGTTCTGCACGTCGATCTTTAAAACTTTGCAGACCTTTCACATTCACAGACAGCTGCATGAAAAGGTAATATTTGAAAAAGCATAATAGAGGCCCTTTTGACGTTAATTCCTTATATGAGAATTTACAGGGGTATGGACAATTTCATACATTTATAAAAAAAATGAAATTAATTTTAATAAATTGATGTATAATGTCGCCTGTCTCCTTTTTTTTTTCTTTTGCATTTCCGATGCCTTCACCTGGCTTTCCAGCATGTAAGTGAACACCTCATTTTATCCAGTTTCACATATTCAGAAAACGCAAGTTCTAATAAGCACAAAACAGATCCTGAGATTTCCTTCTCTGAGAAGAATACATGCAGTGTTCCCATAAGATTTGGCCTAAACATGATATCATAGAAGGTAGCATAATATTGTGTTTAGAAGTAAATCCATGATGCTTTAAAATGTTGTAGGCAGCTCAATGGGTTTGGGAACAGAGCCGTAGACTTAGATTTATGCTCCTCATATGAAGGAAATACTTCCAAAGCCAAATTGCCCATCAGTGTGAAATTAAGTTCTTGACCCATCTTGTGCTATGTACTCTATGCTTATTCTGTTTCTATAATCTTCTCTGGCTTTTTCTGGCAAATGGGAGCCCACTCTGGGTCTTGATGACAGCCTTCTTTCTTCATTCTTTCTACAGGGGGTGAGTTTGATTTCATTACACCTGTGAAATGAAGCAGGATTTAGAAGAAATATGCTTTAGAGTCTGAGTGCAGTCATTGGCTGTCCACTTATCAGAGGATTGTGGGACTGCTAAGAGCTGGCACGCTACTGAGGATCAAATCCCTTTTCCCTTGCCGAGCACTGAACAAATAGGTTTTATTAAACATTCAAAATGCAGATAGTATGAGATTAAGTTACAAACCTTGGAAGTAATGGTGCTTTAATGCTGTAGTCAGTCCGAGTAGCACAGGAAGTATTGGAAGTGAAATGCATTTCAGAAGTTGAATATGAAAATTTTCATCTTTTCATTATGTGAAGCTCATCACTATTAGTGTTTACACTGTTTAGATGTCCTAAATGACAGACTATATACACACAGGCATCAAATTCATAGTGTTTTATAAAAGGATTTAGTATACATACTTCACATAGAAAACAGAAATATCATTCCTGGATAAAAACAATTATTGATCAGAATTTGCAGACCTCCTTAGTTCATTACCTGGAACGAACAAACTTACAATGCAATATAGCTTTCTTTTTTTTTGCATTAAAGTTAACATGAAGTCATATAGTAGAAATAAAAGAGAGTTGAGAATGCATCTAGAAATGTGATTGATTATGCTACTGTTAGTATACGTGCCACTGTAAAAGTAAAGTACAGTAGCCTGAGGAACAGTGTATCTGGATTTAAGAGTAGGAGTGCAGTCCCTTGTGAAAAAGAAGTTCACGTTAGCATACTTTTAAAAAAAGTACTTATCACAGAAATAATATAGGTTACTTTAAAAGAATATACGTAAGAATGAAAAGAATGTAATTTGTTTGGACACTTAAATGTATGTTAATTGAAAATAAATGAAAATGTATTACAGTTTAAATTGATATGAAACACAATCAGTTGAACATTATAATAATTTTTTGGACCCACTTATGTATAATTGTAATTTATATATGTCTTTATATGTAACTTCATAATTACTCTAATTGTCTTTGAAATAGGGTTGGAAAAAATGGAAACTTGTTATTTAAATATATTTGTAATTAAACATTTGTTTTGATGGAGTTGCAATGTAGTACATTTAAAATATATTTACTTTAAATGTAATATTGAATAACACACTACAGTTAAAATTACAAGTATGTTACGGTACATAAGTACATCAAAATAAGTGTATTTGTGAAAAAAATTACTTGTGGAAAAATTAGTTGTACTTAAAAGTAATATTTTTGGTTTGACATTATTACGAAGTGCGCAAAGAGTGTGTTTAGAAACATAGTCATGAAAGTGGACTCACTTGATGTACAATTTAATTAATATTAAACTAATAACTACAAGTACACAAATTCAATACAATTGAGCAGCTAACAGTTGTTCTCACAAGGGTCTCTCAAAGTTATGAACACACATTCTTCCAGTAACGTTACTAAAATATTTGTTCAAAATTATCTGGTCTTTAATATCATTGTCAAAATGTTTGCACAAAAACATTATTTATCATATCATCATATAAAATTGATCATGGAACTTTTTTCTTAAAATGTTAGTTAGACGTTCGTTTAACATGTTTTAATTGTGACTACTTGTTTCAAAAGTAACTTTCCCATATAGTTTGCAAAATTATCAAATGGGATGTTCCCTTAACATTCATATAACAAATAAAAAAAGTGTTTAAAAACATTTAATAAACTGGACGTTCTGAACATTCAGAAATAACGTTTTCATAACGTAATAGGAACAGTAGCAAACTGTTCTTAGAAGATATTGTGTGTTATCTGGATGGCACACATGCATGCTCTGTGTTAATAGCTTTGTCAGTCAGTCTCGTTAAAACCATTCCCAGTGTCTTACCTTGATCTCCATTGGCTTCTTTGACACCCTGGACAGTCTCTCCAGGGCCTTTATTTATACTGAAGCTGATGTGAAACAGAGCACATGAAAGTGTCTGTGACCTTTCCAAAAAATGTCAGTGCTAGGACTAGTGTAGTAATGAGGAGTGGAGCAGAGGGAAGTCTACTTTAACCTTTAAGGGCAGCAGAACTACAGGATGACAGTACTGTGCTCTTAGCAACATGGCTACGCTACGCTACACGCTACACACAGCAATTCTGGACTGATTCCAGGCTACATTACCTGAAGAAAAAATGAAATATTGACACTTTTGCCTAGATCGATGTTTACACCCCTTTACTTACCCTTAACTTTAAGGACGACCCATGATTCAGTCTCAGAACCGGTATGTTCCAGCACTGTCTGTTCTTCACATATAGGCTACCTCATAAGTGGATGATTTGGAACAATCTAGGCAACAAAGTCGCATTAAACAAATAGTGCTCTTCGCAAGAAGTTAAAGGGAGACTCAACTCAGTTCATTCCAGCAGAGTTTAGCTTCTTGCTAAGCTAATAGGTGTGTTTACATGCACTACGTCAGTCTGAATGAATCCAATCTGATTTCAGATTCTGAATTCTGTTTATGATCTTTAAACTTCGCAATCCGATTCGCATATTCGTTTACATGTGCTTTACACATATTACAAACAAATGTTCAGTGAATGCACAGTCGCCATGTTGAGATATTGTTGAATTTGATTGAGAAAATAGATTCAAGCTTTTACATGACAGTTTTTTTATTTTTTTTTATTGATTGGAATATTTAAGGTTGAAACCACTAATTTCAATCGAAGTTTTATTCAGATCGAGCTCAATTAGATTGATTGATAGTCTGATTGACCCATAAATCAGATTTCAAACTGATTATTTGATTGAAATGAAGCCAATGCGATATGTAATAAGCATAAAAATACATACAGCATTCATATAACTATTGATTAAAGCACTTCATTTTTATTAAATTCTTTAAATAAAACTTTATTGATACTTTTCAGTTTTGAATGAACTAGGTATATTTATTATACTTCATTATACTATAATTATAACTATAACTAAACTATAACTATATATTTTTTTAGTTTTAAAATTTCACATGATTAATTTGTACTTTTCTTTATAACCGAAATGTTTGTTGAGGTTTTTAAATACACTAAGCAATACATTTTTTTTACACATGAAATAATAAAAGAAGATTGCTAGTATCTTGGCATGTAATCCATTTTTTGAATGTGCAGCAAATTAATTTAAAGTATTGAGTTTTTCGGAAGGACCTTTATTTACTGTGAGTTTATAAAGTGTCATGCTGTTACGTACATTTTCCTAAATTATTATCCATTTTTGTGTTTGGTTAATGTTCATTATTGTCAAATATTATTGCTCTTGCCACTTTTTTCCCTCTAATCACATGGCCCATTAGTGCTGTGAGTGTAAAACAAACGGACACCAAAGAGATATCAGGGATAGATGGAGTCAACATGAAACATCCGTTTGCAGAAGTGTCTTTGGATGATAAACTCCCCCGTGGAGCGTTAATGTGCCGTCATCCACACTAATCACCGCTTGAGCTCAGATCAGCACTAAACTGCAGTCACATTTCAGACATCCATCATCCTCTCACGTCGTCTTCACTAGCACACTGTGTTCCAGAAGAAAACCCCATCAGGGCTTCAGCTGTTGGGCCGGTGCTGTTTGAAACAGCGGTGGGTGACTGACGGGATCCTAGAGAGGGTTAGTCCCGTGTTAATGTGCGGGATGTACCGTAGCGATTGTCTCAGCGGGTCTCGCTGTCTGGTTAACTGCATAAATGTGAAACGTCGACTGCACACAGTGGTGTGTGAAATGACGTCCAGCTGTTTTTAATAGCCTATCACAATCGAGTGACAGACACAACGGGAGAACAAGAAGTGCTGTCATATTACCGTCCTCCCAAGCTAATGATATTTAGATATTTGTGTGCGTGTAGGATGCAAACAAATGGACATTTCAGGCCTTAATTTGACCAAGTTCACATATTATGTATTTGTGTGTGTGTGTTTGCAGGGCTACACACCGCTCCACCTGGCTTCTCTGCACGGACATGGCAAGATCATCCAGCTCCTAATCAATAACTACAGTAAGGTCACTTTATTCTGGATTAAACACACCTTAAACGCATACCTCTGGTCTTCAGTGACCCAGGACGTCATTCACTATTCTCCACCTCGGTAGAAATCAACCGTAGTATTCCCCAATCAATTCATTATAAACAATATAATAAGAAAAAATAATAAAAAAATGCCTGTTTTCCCATTCCTCTTTTGTAAAAAAAAAAAAATTGTATAGGGTTGCTAACAACCCGAGGTTTGTGACAGTGTAAGTACACAATGATCCACAATGATGAAGTGACGTTTTACTCATAGTTACCGCAGGCATTTGATATTTGATCCTGGAACAACATTTCTGTCTGAAAATGTAGTCCTAATCATATCCCTACCCTTAAATCTAACCCTATATGCGTAACTTATTCCTAAAATCAGAGGGAAATGATGGGTGAATAACACTCATGTAGAAGCACCTAACCCTGGATGAAGCCTAAACATGACATAAACTGTTAACTTGCCCCTCAAATCTGATTGGTTGAAGGGAAATAAAGAAACCCTGAAGACCACGAGGTCAAAAAATCACTTAAGGTATCAGATAATGTGACCAGTTTTTGACATGACAAGGTCAGTTCAGGTTATAAAATGTCATGTGGTCTAACCTCCAAAAACACTTAAAGATAATAATGAATGATATTTCAAAAATAATAATAATAAATTACCTAATTTTTATAATGAAAATGTATGTATTTTTTATTTATTTATTCATTAATTCACCCATTCATTATGAAAAATGACCACTAGATATTACTACACCATCTGTGTGACGTCATTAACGACAGATCTATATTGTTGAAACAACCATTTATTCTGGTTTTGAGAAACAGTGACTTGTTAACTTCTCCAAAGATGCATCATACTATTGCAGTGTTACGAGAAACACCCCTCAATGTAGCCTGAGACCGGCAGACACGGATTTTAAAACCACCCACGTTAAAACAATGCTCCACAGTGAAACAATGTAATGTGAAGAACAAAGGGGAAGATTAAAAGAAGCATCGCAAAAAGGAATTTCTAAGCAAAGAGAAAAAATAAGTATCACAAAAGAATTTCCCATTAGTATACAGTATAATGTTCCTTAACGCTGTCTCCCACAAAAAGAAAATCTAGCTCACAGATATGATCAATGATGCCGAACTGAAGTTACTGTGCAGTCACAAATGATAATTGGTTTTTAGGGGAGAAAACAGCAGTGATGGCCCTCGTACTGTGAGCTAACACTAGCTCTCGCTAATGAAGCTAACTAGGGTGTGTGTCAATAGAGTAATTCAAAAGAAGAGTCCCTTGAGATCTTGGACGGCGTACACGCATATATGTGTAGGGGGGTCTTGTTTGTAAAATCCCCTAACAGAGAATAGATGCCGATATGTTGTGTGTTCGGTGTCCACTCGGCCCTTTTGTGTTTATAATTCACTAAAACACATATGGTCCAGGTCAATATTAGCTCCCACCTCCTCTGTACAAACCACTGAGTTTCCATATGGTGTGTGGAAATGGATACTCCATGGTTTCCCTTCACCACCTACAGCTCACTTGGACCCTACACTGAGAGAGATAAAGAGGATTGTCCTTCGTTTTCTCAATTTTTTCAAGTACCACGAATGTTCAGCCAATTTGTAAATTGCTCTCTTCACAAAATGACATCACAGATCAGCATAGTCTAGTGAAGTTTTGGTCAGTCATCGTCAATTGGTTTGGAGAAGTCACACTGGGCACATTATATCCAGATGTATTCCTTATCGATAAATAATGATATTTATGGATACTTGAATACACCTCTTCTATTATGAATGAACATGCTTTTTAAATTATTTATTTATTTTGTGGTATAATTTCAATTTCAATTTCAATTTCAAAACACTTTATTTGTCCCCAAGGGGCAATTAATGTAAAAATAAAGTAAAAAATGTTGAGGTGCTAGTATGGAAGCTTGTTTCCGCAACTGAATAAAAAAAAAAAAAATTCTCACAATTGCGAGTTTATATCTTACAATTCAAACTTTTTTTCTCTCGCAATTCTGACTTATTTTCTCAGAATTCTGAGATATAAACTTGCAATTGCGAGTTATAAAGTCTAATTCTGAGGGGGGGACAAAGACTAACTTTTTTTCCTACTTTCCGAGTCAAAGAGTCGCAATTACCTTTTTTATTTTTCATTCTGTGGTGGAAACAAGCTTCCATAAGCTAGTGTGATATCAAACTGAGGAAAAAATCATCATAAAAATAAGAAAATTCTATGAAAGAAAACGTCTCAGGTTACGCATGTAACCATAGTTCCCTTTCGAGGGAACTCGCGATGCGTCACTTGACGCTTTGGGAACGCCCCCAGCGTGAATGCGTCTGAGCATCAATGTCAACTAGTCCAATGGAAAGAATGAGCGTCACGGGCGGGTGACGTCATGACCAGGAAGGCATAAGAGCACATCCGGTGAAACGCGGCATCAGCTTCTGTGTCTCAGCAAGCGATCTGTGTTACTCTGTCTCTGTCTATTTATTGTTGTCTGTTCGATATTATTGGGAAGAGTTATGGCGAAACAACTTTACAAACTCTGTGCTTCTCCCTGCCCGCGTTATTTAACGGGTGGGGACACACACGAGCTTTGTGTAGTTTGTTTGGGAGTGGAGCATGCGGTATCAGCCTCCGAGGGGGCTGATTGCAACATTGTGAGAAGCTTTCGCTTCGCATGCTCCACTCCCGCCTGTCACTTTTCGAGGAAAGTGGCCAGGCTCGCGATCCTCGGGGTGCAGGACACGCGTCTGCCGAGGCAGCGCGGAGAATGCATTCCTGTGGATCGCGAATAGGATCTCGTTACGGGGTTGGAGACGGGTCCGCGGATCTTATCTCCTCCCTTTCCACGAGGGATCCAGTGCTCTCTCTTCGGTCTCGGAAGCCCGCGCTGCGGTCTCTTCCGCCCGGGGAGAGAAATCAATGCTTCAGTGCTCTACCTCCGAGGAGGTAGATGTGCTGGGCATTGAAAGTGACACAATCATGGGGGAAGTGGATTTGCCATCTCTTCCCCAGCGTATGAGAATTATATATAGCCTATATATATATATATATATATATGATAGTTTATATATTATATATAAAATAAAGTGTATATATATAAAGAATGTATATAAAAAAATATATATATAATAATAAGCTGGTGGAGGTGTTTACTGAGGCTGTAGATAAATTAAATATTTAATGGCCAGCAGAAATAAGGGGGCACTCGTCCTTAAAATAAATTGAACGAGTTTCCTTCCCTCTATTTTTCCACCTCCATCACAGGGCCTTCCATTTTTCCCGATCTGCACAGCGAGCTGTCTAGATCATGGAAAAAGCCTTACTCATTTTTTAGCCCCACATTCATGTATATTCAGATATTTGGGGGTTAAGAGAGTATGGCTATGGGGCAATACCCCGGGTAGAACAGACACTTGCGAGCTATGTCTCCCGGGTCAGTATCGTCCCTGAAGGCGTCGGCTTCTCTCACTAAACCATTAAAGAAAACTATTTTTTAATCTAGTGGGAAAAGCATATATGGCAGTGGGTCTAGCACGAGCCTGCTTGCACACTATAGCAGTGCTGCAAGCATATCAGGCTGACCTGCTGTGGTATTTGGACAGAAGTGAGGGAGTTTGGCCCGATGGGGTTTGAGAACTCCGTCGGGCCTCAGATTTATCTCTCAGGGATGGCAGCCAAAGAAATGTGGTCACTGAGAGACACCTCTGGCTCAATTTGATGGGAATCATGGAGAAAGAGACAAGATAATCTCTCCCTCGCTATGTCCAACCCACTGGGGCTGCTGGGCGTGAGCAGCTCCAGCCGGCTAGTTTCTCATACACAACACAGCAGCCAAAGCCTTCAAAGCAGAGGCCGGATCCGAGGACCGTTCTTCATGCTGAGAAGGCTGCGGCTCAAAAGAAAAGGTCTGGCGCCACGGCGTCAGACCGGTGAGGGCAGCCCCAACCGGGGTGGAATGGTGTACACCTCATTATACGGTGCCCTTTCCATCTCTGTGCCCTCAGGGGACCGTTCTGCCAACCCCGCCACCCTTGGTGCTTCGGGGCGCAGCGTTCTCCAGCGAGCTTCTGGCGCAGCGTCAACTCGACATTGCGTCGGACTCGCGCCCTCTGAGGGGGGTTCGAAAACAGTCAGTCAATGGCAACAAACAGACAGTGGCTGTCTTTATTACACCAGAGGCCAGCCTCGAGGGGCTGGTTCCCTTGGTAGATTTTCTGGCAGCGCGGAAGCTACTGCCAAATATATCTCTATGGGTAATGGTAATCTCTCTGGTAATGGAGCAAGGGGTAAAGGCCCTGTTAGCAAAGAAAGCTATAGAGCAGGTGTACTCACCCGACATTGCGTCGGGTCTTTACAGTCGTTATCTCATTGTTCCAAAAAAGGATGGAGAGCAGCGTCACATACTAGATATTCGTCTGTTGGAGTGTTTGGTGCTGGAACTCAAGTCCAAGATGCTGACACTCAGACAGATCGTGACTCAAATCAGATCCGAGGACTGGTTTGTCACGATAGATCTAAAAGACGTATACTTCCATATCTCCATCCTCCCTCAGCACAGGAGGTTCCTGAGGTTTTCTTTGGGGCAAAGAACACCAGTATCAGGCACTTCCTTTCGGTCTAGCTCTATCACCCCGCACATTCACGAAGTGTATAGACGCAGCTCTGGCCCCGCCAGGCTGCAGTGTATACGCATTCTGAATTGCATAGATGACTGGCTGATTCTAGCGGAATCAGAACAGTTAGCGGTTCGGCACCGAGGTGTCGTTCTCGCTCATATGCAGATGTTGGGGTTGAGGCTCAATGCCAAGAAGAGTGTGCTTTCTCCAGTACAGATAACCACTTTCCTTGGTGTGGTATGGGATTCAGTGACGATGCGGGCCACTCTGTCGCCCGTTCGTGTAGCTGCTATCCTAACAGCCACAAAAGAGCTGAGGCTAGGCCAGTCACACACTGTAAAACAGTTCGA